CCCCCCCCCCCCCAAATTTTCCCACCAACGTGTTTCACTTCACTCTTTGTGCACATCTCGCATCTGCCCAACCCAATGAGCCAAAGAGAAGGAAGGTTTAATCAAAGGAAGTCTTTGGTTTTAATGAAAATCTTACACCTGATTCTCACATCCCTGTACAGTGGACACTGCTGATCCTCAGCCGTGGAGCAGGACACTGCGGGGTCGAATAGTATTTGTTTGATCACAATGCGTTTGTACAGTACAGTATGACCCTTTCATTGTTTTAGTTGTGACAGATATCTCAGACTCAACTTGAGAACTCAAACCACATGTTACTGTAATATCTTTTTGTTAGGATAAATGTTTTAGATTTATTATTAAAATCAGTTCTGACACTCTATGAACCATGAACAGAAGTGGACGTGAATGCTGATGCAGGTTTATGTGACGAGCAGAGGTCGGCTTCACCGACATCTAGACCCGACAGCTGACAGTAGGCCAGACTTCATCATGTTGGTTTTATCCTGTTTAGAAGCCCAGATTCAATCTGTCAGGACATTTTTAAAAAAGTGACAGGATGGTTGTCAGGCGGGAGACAACCCTGGTTCAGGCCACATCACTTTAACTCACCCAGCTGTGCTTTATCATGCTTCTAATCTGCTGAAATATTCTTTACTGCTGTCACTGAAGTATTTTCATTGTCTGAACTATGCCTCATGTTAATATAGGGTCTCTGCCTGAGTGTGTCTGATAGACACCTTCTTTTCCCCAACGTTAGAGCCACATTGCAGTAATAAATAAAAGGATTCCTTAAATACAGACACATGATTTTCCTTGAGATTGTCTCGGAGTAGATGCCGATAGCGGTTCCAGCTTGTAGGCCTCTTTTAAGGTGCGGGCGGGGTACGAAAACAGCGCCGTCAAGTTGGACACATTCTACCTGCGCCTGCAGCCACCTTGCTTCCGTGAGGTTTAAATGTCATGTGACATGGTGATATTTTGCAGCGCCGGCGAAAGTTTCTAACCAGCATGCCGTATTTTAAGTCCAGCATGCGTCGCATGAAGTCAAAACACACCTATAGTCATCACGGGTCAAACCTGCAGCAGACAGACGCAGCTGCAGAAGCAGGTGAAGAAGGTGAAAACTCTAGCAGCTAAAGAGACAGGAGTTGGGGGAGATCAATAAACGGAGCTTAGAGGAGAGTAAACATCGGACTTAAATTAATCAGGTGGACACAAACGCCCCTCCACCAGGATGGTTATGTTGCTCAGTGTCTGATGGATGTGTAAATGAGCAATTGTTTGTTGACTGTTCTCTGCACATCTTTTTATTTTTCTATTCTATGTTTATTTAATGTTGTGTCGGATCTGGAGCTGCTGTAATTTGTGTCAATTTCCCCAGTGTGGGATCAATAAAGTCTATCCCATCCTATCTGAAAATGGACATGCACATATTTCCATGTCAAACAGATACATTTAATAATGACTTAAATCAGTGACCTTTCTCTAAATGACAGACCAAAAATCAGTTTCAGTAGCAAGGTCACTGGTCGATGTGTGTACTAATCAATAAAATAGTATGTGCTTCTCATTAAGTGCTGATTGGCTTGTCTCCATTTTACCACACATCACAAACTCCCTCAGACATTGTGCTGACAAACACTTTATTTCTCATGTATTTGCATATAAATACACCGTATGTCCAGTGGCAGTTCTTTCCAAATGTCTTGTTTAGTGTATGATTAAATGTTTTAGTATGTTTCAGTAAATTGCAGTTATTTGTTTCAGAAACAGGATTCTCAGTAACTCAATTATAGTTTTATTGAATGAAATCTGAGGTCTGTGTTACAGGGGCCAGTGGCCCCTGTTGGCTCCCCCCAAAACCGCCATGTTGTCTTAGCTCTAGAGAAGTGCTGATCATGATGCGTTTAACATAAGGTGGTTGTTGTTGTTTTTTTATCTCAGTGATAAATATATCGCAGACAGTTTAAATAGGCTGTATTGATCAGAAACAGACCATGAAGGGTTTTAACTGAAACCCCATTATCAAAGAGTGCCACTTCCCCACTCACTCTGTCTACAGTCCCTGGTGTATTACACAGAGGATCGATAATGTTGATTAGTGCTGGGTAAATGTTTATGCTGCAACATGGTTTTTCCTGTGGTGTATTAGTGCAGGGGGTAATTAGTGAAGGCTACTTAGGAGCTCTCTGCATCCTGTATGGTTTTTTTTAAAGTGCAGTTATACGCTGAATTACTGACGTATTCTGTCTGTAAATAATTAAAATGCATTCTGTATTTGTTTGTTGAGTAGAGAAGATCATTGTAATTAGTTTTAAAGCCACGCGCACCGCCTACAAGACCAACACCAGGAATCCACTGACTCCAGCACATTAGGCCTGCGCCACGGTTTTGATGCGTCCTCAGCCCGGCGTCAAAGTCCACTGGAAGCGTCTCAGCAGCGGAGCGTGCCGCCTGCCCCACGTTATTGACTTGTTATTAATTTGTCCCTTTTGTGCTTCTACTACCTTCTTCACAGCTTTCTGTGACCCCGTTTCGTTCCGTCAAATTCAGGCTGCATTTCTCACAAGGAGAAGGTTCTGCCTGATTTTGCAGATTTGGTAATGAGTGTTTGCATTTTGTGCTTCTACTATGATTAAGTCGGCTATGTAGTTAAATTATTTAATGTTTATTGTTGTTTTACGATCGTGAGTCTCGTCAGGGACTTATTTTGAAAATTGACTCGATTCTCTATGTCGTTCTGTGTCTGACTTCCTGCCTGGTTCGATCTGCTCTGTGTTGCTTGACGTGGCAAAAGCAGACCTGCTACCTATTCCTAATGGCTGAGATTAGCTCCAGCAACCACGCCGTAGCTAGAGTTGGTGGATTTTAGGGGAAAAATATTGATATGATTGTTGTGGTGTAGGGGTTTTGTTGGGTTACTTCTTGTATGTCTGTGTCCGTCCTGTTGATGTCCTTATTCGTGTCACCTGTGTGTAATTACCTGACCTGAACTTTCCCACGCCATTTCAAGCTGGTAACCAAGCAAGCCGTCTCAAGCTGATAAGCCGTCCACTTTTCAGCCATGTTTTCAGTTGTCCCTCCCAAATGCAAAAGGAATGGATCCACTTCTATTTTCACGAATAGACCAAATAATTTGTTTCACTCTTGCTATAAGCGTGTAAACGTGAAGTATATCTTCTCAACGGCGAGAGACGGCACATTTTTAGATTTTTGTGCCCTGAACTTCAAATATAATTTTGCAAGTCAGAGTTTGTCACAAAACTATTGATGTACAAGACTGTGAAAATATGTAGTTACAAAGACCACAAACCCAAAAGTCGCCTATTTGTTTCTCTCAATGACTGAAGCTAAAGTTACAGAAGCTAACTTTGCTGAAGCTAACGTCAAAGAGCCTCCATGTGTAGATGATGTGATAAAAGGAGTCGTTGGAGGTGCACAAGTCACAAACTGGCTGCAGCATAGTCACACCTGACGCCACAAACCTCTCACTACAATCCTCCTGAAGCCTGAATAAAAACCTCCAGTCTGTTAAGACTGGGGGCCAATCTGCTGGGTCATTTGGTGGAGCAGCAACTGTTCCATTACTGTGTGACCTGCTTCTATCTGATGCTGACTGTACATTTCTGGCTGGTACTGGCTGAGGCTGGATGTGGATCAGCTGTCTGTTCCTGTACTGGCTGATGATCCAGCATCTACTCTACTGACAGTCTTCAGAACAGCCCTGTAGATTATAGATATTTTCTATATATTAATCAGCTGCATCAGGCCCATTCAAACTGGCTCCTCCAGGTTTCCTTCAATACATTTTCAAATATAAAACACTTTTTCAAAATTACTTGGCTGAATATGTGACGCTTATTATTTACTGAGATATGTGCAGTCTGTCCAGCAGAGTCAATGTGACTCCCCTGCTTCTCATCTTGCATTAGTCCAGAGATGCATCAGCTGGCTGAAGTAGATTTGCGGCGAGTCGGCTTTATCAGTTTACATTTGTTTTTCAGTGCTGCTCCACTCGGGTGCGCTGCATAGGCGACTAATAGAAATGTAACGTAGTAGAAAGTCGATGTTTGCCTTTGAAATGTAACGTAGTAGAAAGTCGATGTTTGCCTTTGAAATGTAACGAAGTGAAAGTAAAAAGTTGCAACACCAAAGACAGAGCGCTTTTACACAAAACTAAATTACTTTTTTTTTTCAACAAACTGCGACTTTCTTGACTTAAATTATCTTTTAAACTGACAAATATCATGTGTGTAATTCAGGGGACAATTCAAATGTGTTAAAAAAATTTGTTTTCTCTAGCCGTTGACTACCATACATATTTATATAAATATATCCTTTTTTTTCTTGTCTACAAAAGCTCCCATAAGCACTGCTTCATTTTCACGTCAGGTCTCCTTTGAAAGAAACAAACACCCTGTTGGCATGTCGATTTCCTGGAGACCTGAGAAGCATCCCACGCTCTGCTCACCTGTCGGGTCAGGTTTGCGTCATATGTTTTTCAAGCCGTTGGTTTTACCTGACCGCAGTAACAGGTTTAAGACACCAGGACAACTGTGAGTTCTTGTGAAATACAACATCTACACATTTAAACTACAAACCTCCCTGTGAATAGTTTCCATTAAGTAGAATCCATCTGTCGTGTCTCATCCAACTTCTCATCAATAGCTGTCCAATGTGCATTAGAGGGCTGACATTCCTTAACAAAATACTCTGAAAAGAATTAATTTGTCACTTACTGCCTTTTCCACTTTCATTGACAGTCTCATCCATCTCAGACATTACAATAAATGAACTCACCTATTGTCTTATTAGCAGCAAAATACATATGCATGCCTCCGAATGGTTTCTGTCCAAATGCTCTCTCATTGAATGTAGGTTCATTATCACAAATGATACCTTTCACATACAATTAATCATGTGATTAATATAAAAATATTGATTATAGCCACGTGTCTGTTAATCTCTCTCTCTCACATACACGTATGCAAAGCTGGAAAGCTGTGATTGTACTTTATTAAGGGCACATTACAATAAGCATCATTGTGGAGGCAACACATTTAGAAAAGCATCAAAAATACACAAATAATACAGAGAAAACTTAATTCAGACAGTATTATTAAACCATAACCCACATAGTACAACACCTTAACACACAAGATATAATTCAACACAATGCAGTTTCATCACGTAACATTCTTCCAGCTGAAAGCCACGGGTTTCTTTTCTATCATTAACTAGTTTAAACATTTACTTTTTCATTGTGTTTTTGTCCTTCACTTCCTGTTATCTGTGTTTTACCAACCCGTTCTCACTCCCCGACTCGTCACATATGGACGCATGGTCGAGACCCATCGGCGTCAACTTGGAACGCACTGGGGATCCCTATAGCGTCGTAGTTCAACGCAGTGGGGGAAGCCCTGTAGTGTTGGTTTGTGACAGTAAAGGCAGGTACATGATATTTAACAGACTGAGTAAGGAGGTGGAACCTGGAGACCAGGGTTCGTGTCCAGTGTCAAACTAAAAGTCAACATTAACTACTTTTGTTTAAGTTACGGAAGTTAACTTACATGTTAACTGGCCTACATAGTTACTTTAACCCAAACCATGATCCTTTCGTAACCCTAACCAACTAGTTTTTGTTGCCTAAACCCAACCAAATTGCAACATTTTGCAACTTTAATAACGAGCCATTTCAAAATGCGGATGTTTCGAGACGCTAGCGTTTTATTTTGAAATTCGGACGTTGTAAATGTATTGTTGCTACCTTCACCGGACGTTGCATATTTGTTGTTGCTAAGCGTTACTAACTTGACCGCGGAGCCCTAAACGTCTAAACATGACGCTAAAGAGGTACCCAGGACTTTAAAAAGCGACGCCAAAGGGCCTTGACCAAGCGTCAATATGTGACGAGTTGGGAGTGAGAATGTGTTGGTTTAACTGATTCAAAGTTTTCATTCACTTTTTAAAAATTGAAAAGCAAATAATCTTTACTTAAGCAGCATCGGAACGTTTTCAGTTTGTCAGTGACGTTTCCTCCGTGTGTGCAGAAACTCAGTTTGACTCCGGGACCGAAGCAGTGAAAGATAAAATTCAAACATTCACACGGGTCAGTTTTATTCCTAGGAGGAGAACAGAGCTTCTGATCCTTTGATCCTTGCTAATGAAAGTCTTGAATGTGTTAATTGCACATTGGTCCCCTTGGCCCTGGGCCCAGAACTGTGTCCCAGACCTCTATCCACAGATGACTAATACATCCCTGTTTCCATGTTGGGCACTGATTGGATGAGTAGTTAACAGGGTTTACGTTTGTGCAGAGGAATAAGAGCTTCTCATTTATTAGACCGCTCATCTTCTGGAGGTGTGATGGGCTAAATTAAACTGATCAACCCCAAATGATGCAATATACTCTGATGCATCCCCTCTAATTTTAAAAGCTTTTAATTACTGTTGGATAATGTTACACTTTTAAAAAACGATGTTCAGTTTGAGCTTCAAGTTATATTAAAGTGTTTAAGGTTAGGTTTGTTGCTGTAACAACCCGTTCTCATCCCAGGGCAGGGCAGGGCGGTCAAGTTAGCAACAGTAAATAAATGTCCGGTTAGACTTCCACAATAAAATTAGTGGTTAACGTTGTGTCTCAATTTGGTTAGATTTAAGGCCACAAAACTAACTGGTTAGGTTTAGGGAAAGATCATAGTTTGGGTTAAAATAACGTTTCTTATGTAACTTAACTAAAAACAATCAATGTTGACTTATTGTTTCATACAAACCAACACCGGTCTCCTGGTAAATGTGCCCGTAAACCTGCTTTTAGCTTTAAACAATGATGCTAAAGGGCTTCCCCCAGTGGGTTGAACTATGACCATAAAGGCTGCCATTTGCGTTGGTACCAGATGCTGTAAGACGTGACAAAGCATAAGTACTTGACGCCATTGGATCATACCTGTTAACCCTCCTGTTTTACTGCGATTCTCCTGGATTTTCCAGTTCAATCCCGTTGAAATGTTTCTACCCTCCAGTAAAGCAGGTGGCAGTATGTAGAGCGTTAGCTGTAACACTGGCCGTGTTTCCATCAACGTTTTTTAATGCGCATTTTGAAGTATTGCATTAGAAAAGGTCGATGGAAACGCAAAAATGTTTTCACGCTCGCTTGAGGTGGTTATTGCCTTTGTCGAAAAGGGTAAATGCGCTAAATTGGAGATGGAAACACTTTTTCCGAATAAGTTCTGACGCAGCGAACATGTAACTCGCGTCTGATCGGCTGTTTCTGCTGTCTTGCCCGGTTGTGCAGAGTTCTGCACGTCTGCTGAGAATTTCCTGCAGCTCATTTGTGCTGAGAAAAGAGGTGGATGCAGATCTGGGCAGGTAGCCTTCATCAGCTGTTCTGCTGAATTATGCATTCACCTCTTAAATGTCCTTTTCATACACTTTGCTCTGCACACTGATCAAACGCGGTTATCACCGCATATTTTAGATGAATCTCACTTCTGCTGCTTCTACTGAGTGTAATAAAATATTAATGACTCTAAACGTTCATAAAATACATACTTTATCACCATTAACCCTACAAAGGATATTATAGCGTTTAAAAGCAGTAATTAGAGGTGCTTGCAAAACTCGGCATAACACCGGATATTCCCATAACGTGCGGAGATATGGCTGGTAGCAACTTGCCCGCTTCAAACACATTCCTGAGGACCTCTCTCCATTTTTCCAAGATAAATGACCATCAGGTTCATGCGACAGATTTTGTTTCTGGTTTGGAACCTGTACGTCTTGTTTATTACAGCCATGTGTAACATCAAACCGACGTAACTACGCTCGCCGTAGCTACGCTCGCCGTAGCCTGGTTTATTCGCTCCGAACAGGCTGATGGAAGCGCACAGATTTCGCAAATGCTTTAGTTTTGTTTTTTCCCGCGACATTCCAAAAGTATGCTTAAAATTCGCAATTGGATGGAAACATGGCTAAGTGACAAGAAGAGGAGGAAGAAGAGCAGCTTTGAGGGGTTCAAGTTGGATGATGCATTGGAGCCCTAAAAACACACATGTGCGGAGCGCTTTTTGTTTTTTTTTATGTTTGTTTTCTTATTTTTAAAACCCAGTGATGACAGGTTTGCTCGAGATTGAGAACGGGCTGGCTGTACCTACTGTTCCTCATGTTGTTAGCAGATTCATTCGCTGTTGGTTTTAGTCTTTCCGTGGGATTTGTTGACAATTAGAAAAATATATAATATCACTAGACTCATACTTTAAACATGCCTGATGCCATGCCTTTTCCTATTACGGAAAAAAAGAAGGTCTACTTTAAAATGTGGTGGGGGTTCAGGGAGATATGTACACAAGGTGGAGAGGAGAGAGATTGACGGCAAACTGACAGCAAAGTCAAAGAGAAGCCGTGAGATTGAAAAAAGAATAGAAAAGGAACAAGTTAGACGGCTGATGCTCCAATCTGCCAATAACACCGTCCCTGCTGATGTTTGGGTCGGCCTATGCTATTGTACGAGTTGATCACTCATTTAAAAGGCTAGTATGGGGGGAAAAAAACTGGATGCATGTCTGCAGATGTGTATCATGTAATTAGCATGTAATGTGCTAATGTATCGCATATTAACAAACATTTGCAGCATTGTAATCTTATAATGCTGAAATCATCATACGCTAATCTTGATAACTCAATCTGATGTTCACTGAAGTGAATATTAGATTTGGCACAATTACACACAAAGTCAGTGGAAAAACATGAATAATTGGAATGGAAAAAGTTTAAAAAACTATAATGACATTTGTTTTCGTCATTTGAGCTGAGCTATCTGAACTTTGCCTCAAGTTTTGTCAGTACAAACCACATAAATTTTATGAAAAGTACGCCTAAAACTATTTTTACCTCAAGTAAAAATGTAGCCCAGTTGTGTGGGAAGTCGCCCAGTCTGGCTTATGACTGGACTTTATAAACATAACTATCAGCAGAAAAAGTATAACTCTTTAAGTGTTTGTGGAGCCCGATGAAAAGTCTCCAACGTTGTTTTTTTCTCGTGGGATCATAAACACCAACAATGTAACAACAAACGGTCACATGCAGTAGACACGATGTTTTGCTAAGGCCAGTGCTATAGACACATACATGTGATCATGTGATCACCTGCAGGAGGAAGAAGAGAGAAAATAGAAGAGAAAAATGTAAAAGTGAAGCCTGAGAGGAGAAACAGAGAAGTGATTTGTGTTTTCTCAGAAAGATTGGTGTGATTGGATGCACAGAAGGCAGGCATTATCAGAGAGTGAATAAACATATTTACTTTAAGTACCAAGCTAATTCTACACGTATGCACAGTAGTCTCCTCGTAGACTTTCAGCTTATTGATTCTCAGGACAGAGTCTGCTCTTGTTGCACATCCAGGAGCTGGCGTATATAACATGCAGATTAAATGTTTCTCAACCATTGGGAAAACCTGAGAGTTTTGAGAAAAAAAAAGTGAAGAAATTCATGTGAAAGAAATTGCTTCAGTCCCTCAAGCTTCAAGAATTATGAGCAAAAACATAAAATATTTGATTAATAGCATGGTGGCACAATTGCATTTAAAAACTGTGTTCCTATTTCTTCTGTGGTCAAATGTTCCATCATATTGTATTAAAGTCTGCGCAGCAGGGCGCAACTTCAAGTGACAAAGTCCTCGGTATGGTCATGGTAGGATTTGATTTCTGATATTATTTTGCATTCCCTCTGATCCATAGAGAAAGGCTGAGCTGTATTATGATGTAGTATTATGCATTATTTATTAGGCCGCCGCTGGCTGTGGGCACTGCACCAGTGGGCCTGACCTCAGCTGTAACATTGCAGCTACAGAGGGAACTAGCTGGCATAGTTGTGCTAGCTGAGCGTTGTCTTGAAGCTGCTGTATGAAGTCCTGGTGTTTTGGTAACACGTGAGATATCTGCAGGTTCAAATCCTGTCCGTAGCAGCAGTAAACAATAGTCACGGTGTAGCTGATGTCGCCATTTCCATAGCATCATAAATTCAACCACAAATGCAGCCGTAGTCTGATCAATAAGCAGATCCACAGCTTCAGCCAGCGCAGCTAGGGCGGAGCAGCATAGCCAGTGGCTGATTAATGTGTCTCATGTGTGAAGTGTCTCATCATCTCTGCGTCTAAACTGTTAGCAGTTTTAAATCTGGACCAGACTAACAAGTGTTCCTATGGATCAGGGGAATACAACAAATATCCCTGAGCACCCCTCTGCTTTGTGAAGACGAGGCCCCTTCATCATACTTGCCAACCCTCCAGATTTTCATGGCCCTCTCCTGGTTTCTTCTCTGGGTCACAATTCGTCACGTTTTTTCCTCCCTTTGTTATCGCAAGCTGTTTCTGATTGTACAGCGTGTATAAGCTTTACAACTCTAAAAGTCTTCTGTTTCCACCCAGACAAGAATACGGCTGCACCAAATGTCAGTTCCTGTCAGGTGGCGTCTAAGAGAGCTGCTCGCACCTCTCACCTTCTCCAGTGAGTGAGAGATGGGGAGAGAAATGGAAAGTACTAAGAGAAACTAATACTACATCCTGGAAGAGATTCGGCCAGAAGGGTGTATTATTCTGTTTTCTTTCCTGAGAAGTAAAATCCAAAGTATTTAACATAAAGTGCTGTGGCAGTGTACTTACAATTATGCTTTTTATTTCTTTAAAAAAGGACCATGATGCAAACGTCTCTGGACCCCAGACTCCCCGCTTTGGTTTCTAAATCATCCCCATGCTGGAGGTCTCCAGGTTGGCAAGTATGCCCTTCGTTAACACGGATAACACCGTGTGGCCTTTCCTGTTGTACTCTGCGTGTGAAGCAGGGGGGTGCTGCAACCATCAGCGTGACCAGGAGGTGGGTCACAGGTTTAAGCCCTCATGTAAATCACAGAAGCCCTGTCCTCACTTGTAATGAGTCGGTCTAGATAATGTCTGTGAAACGAGGCTTTGATCTTCAACTTCCCTCCGGTTAATGAGGGACCAGCAGCTGTCTAGCCCCCCACCGCTCCACCACTCTATACTATGGGCATATTGACAGCCACCAACAGCTGCATTCAGACACATTGACACCCACCCACCTACCTACTGTAATTGCAGCTGCACTTGCACCTGATCATTTGAAGCTAAGAGGCTGAAGCGACAACCAGTAAGTTAGGCTTCCCTGAAATGTGTCCTACCTCAGCCTTTAATGTCGCTTAAAAAAAGGGGGGGGGGAGTATTTCTGTACAAGAACGGGCAAATTGCTGCAGTCTTGTTCTGTGTATGTGCGCCCGCAAAGGAACATTTATTATGTATGTTGATGAGATTCAAGCATCATTTTCAAACACAGAAATATGAAGCATGCTTGGCGCTGAAAAACACATCAAACATTTTAAAGAAGCAAAAAGAAATGACAACATCAACATGTAATCAACTGTACATCACGTAAATGTTCTTTTTCTGTAAGCGGCTGTTTTGAAGAAACGTCACGTCGATCTGAGCACACACACTTCATCACCTTCAGTTCAGCCAAAGCAGCAACACAAAGCACTGACAATAGTCCTCTACACGGGTCTGTTAGTCTCTGTACGATGGCAGATTCATCAGGGACTTATTTTTACAGGAAAGAAACAGACGCATGCGTGCAGAGCTCGGTGCGGGTATTGGCTCTCGGAGCACCAGGTGCTAGGCGGCGGTGGCCATCTTGTTCCACGGAGAGCTGAGAGTATTCTTAAGAAGATTATCTGACCACATGACACAAAAGTGATTCTGCTTTGGTTGACAGCAAATGCAGGTAGCAGGATTATCGGAATATGTCGAGTTACCCGGGGAAAAGGTGCCTCATCACTGATGGGATCTATAATTGAAAGTCTTCACTTCAAATGTCCCACTTGTTGAGAATATATATAAACAAATGTTTCTCTGTCGCTTTATTTTAACTTTAATAACTTATAAGAAACATAGTTTCCTGGAATGTAATTATTATGGACTAGTGAAAATAGAGACGTCAGTTGGTACCAGGTAATTCATTCCAAATCCTTGCTACCATAAACTGGACAGGATTTTTAGCTCAGTGCACAGCAGGTCATGCACGAATGCTACATTTATCCACAGGCAAGCACAGAATTCAACACACATGGAGAATTAAGTCTTCCATAATAAATGAATAATAAACGAATGTTTAGATGGCGGTCATGAAGACAATTGATATTGTCCCTGAAATGGATTTGCTGCTGGTTCTGTTGAAGTAAACACTTCATTCATTTGTGTTGTGTTTCAGATTAAAAGCCCTCCGGTGGCTTGAGAAACCTAATCCCTTTCCCTCTCTTAATTAATGAGTTTGTGAGTAAGAATAGTTTTTCATTAGAAATAAAAACTCAGAGAAGCAGAGTGGTGAATGTTGAATTTGCCACATGAGCCAGTTTAGTAGGGGTACCGGCCTTTTACCCGGCATTCACTAAAAAACTCAACGTTGTATCTTACCCTCACTCGTAAACAGAGATCCTCCTTTGACTGGGGCAGAATCACACTCCCAGCCCAGAGGGAGAAATCCCCAGTTTAGGTGGAGTACCGAGGCCTTAGACTTGGAGGGCATGACACCCCCCCGCTGCTTCACACTCGGCTGCAACCCTAACCCTGCAAATCCACAATCCACATGTAGACTGGATGGGCAAACTCCTCCAGTCAAGGTTGCAGTCAGTGCTGGATTATGGCACATCATTTCACACAACTGCACTTATGTGAGTTTTTTTTTTCTTCTGTTTAGCAAAAGCGTACAGCACATGCTCCCACTGATGTGAAGTCAAACAACAGAAAATAAAGCCCACAAGAATCCGTTTAGTGCCATCAGCTATCAAACTGTTGCGCCTGGTGGACACAGGGAGCAACAGAGCCCCAAACCAAACATGTACCAAAGAGATTTTCCTCCACACAGGGAGATATTTTTGGTTTACAAGGCTCTGTGTAGTTTTTAGCTGCTACAAATGCATTCCCTTAATCTCCTGTAGTCGTCGTAGCAGGAGTTCAGATACACCATCCCATAACTGGAGAGTCAAACGTTCAGTCCTTCAGCGGTCCAAGACATTCTCTGAAACGTCCTTGAGTAAGAGGTCTCTGGGGACGTGGCTCTGTGTGTGACCCTCCTTATCAAGAGGCAGCAGACAAAACGACAGGCGAAATTTCCCCTTTCTGTGGATCAATACTGTGTCAGTAAATAGATGAAGAGCAATTACAGCAACTTAGCACAGAAAAAAAACACTGCAGACGTGCTAATGTGGTAACCATGCTGTCAACAAGACTGCCTGTCCTCTCAGCCTCGGGCTCGTGGTGCGTTAAAGCGTTCCTTGAAACTTTAACTTCTACTTTCAGCAAACATATTTCAGTAAATCTGGAGATCTGATGATTTTGGCTGTTCCTTTTGATGTCTGAACTTGTATTTAAAAAGAGGCACTTTTTGTTTGGTTGCCAAGTTGAGGATGTAGATGATGAAGTATGACAGGAGCGACTGGCACAATCATTCAACCGATACGAGGCCTGGAGCGTTTCCTGTACCCATCCACACAGACTACACACCAAAATATCTGTCCTGCTCTCACAGCTGCGGGAGTCCTGTGTTTGCAGGATGAAAATCACAGAGCCACTTCTTGTCTGCTGGAGTTGCCATTGGCCGCTGGAGCGATGATGGCGGCAGTGGGCGTGGTCTTCTTGATGGAGGTGAGGCGGATGTGGGAGGTGCTATGCAGGTAGCTGGCTTGGCGCTCGGGGCGGGGACCTCGACCACATTGCAGCTGACTAAAGAAGAGGAAGAAGAAAGAGTTAACTGAGCGCACAAGGCATCTGCAAGGCCTTGAAAAGTCCTGAAGGATCCATCAGCAACAACATCTTTATAGACTTCAGAGGTTTGATTGATCAGGTCATAATACAATAACTAATGTACTTCTTTAATTACAAACAATTTAATTGCAGTATTAACAGATCTTTTGCAAATGAAATATTTGGTGATATTTAATAAAGTTAAAACAAACGGGGGAAAAGAACTTAATCTGCTTTGTTTCCACTTTCCATTATCAAACATTATTCACATTTTGGTAAACGGACATTTTAGAATTTTTCATCTTTTTATTCAATCAGAAATAGGCAGTTTTTGTACCTTTCGTTTCAATACCTTGGCTCCAAAGAGACTCTGAAATACAGCTTTCATAAATGGTACCAAAACAGATTTAAATTACTAGAGCAAAACAGCACAAAAGCACAGAGGAAGAAAATCGACCTCGCGAAGAAAAAGAATGGTATTAAAAACTGGACCAGAGTAAAGCATTAGTCCAGAATAAGGTGCACCGCAAGTAAGGGATGATACTGATGTTGTCTTTACCTACATTTCAATACTGTCGCATTAATTCAGAACTGCAAACATCTGCATCATCAGTGTCTGCTTTTTATTTTGAAGCACATGAAATGTGCTATATAAATAAACCTGACTTGACTTGATTGTGTGTATTTTTGTGCCTACATGACGCTTGTTGAATGCATTTCCTTCCACGTAAAACATTTACAAAGTCGATTTTAAATTTGTTTTTAAACATCTTCAAACCTGCATTGTTTACGCCTCTTTCCATCGGCCGGCAGTCTTCTTCTTTCCTGTCTTTTGCCGGTGCATTGCTACTTTTTCTTTGGGTCACATGCGCGTCCTTGTACATGCTGGTGCAAACAAAATGGAGACTAGTGGTCAAATACTCCACGGGGTACCTTAATCTGATTGTTATAATATGTAGTCATCAACAATTAGGGCCCACAATGTTGTGCAATGCAAAAGATGTTTTTTTTATTACTATGTCCCCTCTTCTTACATTTTTCACAAAGAGATCGTAGTCTTATTGCTTTCCAGCCTGCTCTCCTTTACCGTGCTGTTGGAGCCGTATTTTCTGTGTCAAAAGATAGAAATAAGACTGCAAAACAGTTTTAACACGTGACGTGTTCTTATTACTGTTCTAACAACGTTTACTGTGCGACACATGTTGTGTATAAAACATCTGGCCCTGGTCACAGCTGCCCCTTGCAGCACAGACGTATCTGTATGGAGCGTAAAGCTGAAACCACCAGTAAATCAATAGAACAAAAACTAATCGACATTTATTTTGATAATCGATTAAATGTCCTGGTCATTTTTTAAGGAGAAATGGCAACAAAAGGCTCTCAAATCTGACAATTTGGCAAGTCAGCTTTCCAGCACTTACAAAGGATTTTTATTTTTAAAAGTCCAAGTCAAATGCAAACAATTTAACACAAACTCCAGCAGTCAGACTTTTTAGAGATTGGCTCCTTTGGTACAAAAGGTGAGGGCTTAAGATGTCTGTACTTGTGGAAATCCTGAAACTTCCTTTTGAGTAATGAGAAATACGTCCAAAGACAGGTGAATTATGCCGCGCGCTTCACGCTACAACCCCACTATAATTGCTTCCTGAAGGCACATCTTATTTTTCCAGCCTATTCTCTGCTGCTTCTGAGGTGTCAGGATTTGCTTTCATATCTGACCCAAATGAAAGCATAATGCCGGTCCCCGGGTTTCTGTTTCTCACTGTGACAGTCATAGTTTTTAGGGAGGATTGCGCTGGAGTAAAGAAGTTTCCATCCTGCCGCGGAATAATAATCATAAGTAGCAGGATGTTTAGTGAAAGTGGGAGCACTCCAAAGGAGATTTAGAAAATGACGAGGCCATGATTACTTCATCTTACGACGAAGGTTATGGAGGTATGGAAAATAGAGCACTTTTTTTTCCTGAATCTATTTCTGAGTGCTCAGAGTTCCACAAATGTTCAGCCTTCTGGAAAGTTTTGATTAGTTGACAATTGCAATTTACTATGGTCTGTACACAGAGTGGAAAAACATCAGCAACACCCTGCCAATACTAAGCAGCAGCTTGTCAACTGTCTGCAGGCCTTTTCATCTATATCCTTGTAACATCAGTGCATTTTATTATTAACATGTTATTGTTACAATTAATAGAGAAAAAAAGAATTGTTCAAGTGATTACCCGGATATTTTTTATGGGAAGGGCAGTTAATCTGAGCAATAATACAATGGAGCCTGAAATACTGAAGCATAACATTGAGCTGCTCAGCAACATAAGTTAAAAGTAGTTCATTATTTTGAGAATAAGGTAATATATCTAGATCTGAACGTTTCTGTATCCACTGTAAAAATAAATAGGAGCTGTAAATTCAGCCCGACCTCTCATTTATGTTAAGGTCCTCAGTCATCCATGTCACAGTTATCCAATGAAGGTCAAGAGCAACTGGACTTGGTCAAAGATTTTTCACCTTTTATCCAAGTGGCTGCTTCAGTTCTTTAGAGCCTCTTGGAAGAGATACTTGGACGTCTTCACGTTTCTTTAACCAGGTCCCCTTGATTTTAACCATGGACTCTTAAAATGGGTATTATAAACATGTACTGGTGAAGTTATCATATGTATATATAATATTTTTGAAGATGAATGTAAATGCTACACTACATGGCATTCACCCATTCACAAACATTCATACACCGATTAGAACAGCCATCGGGGGCAATTTGGGGTTCAGTGTCTTGCCCAAGGACAGTTGGACATGGATCCTGGAGGAGCCGGGGATTGAAGCGCCGATCTTCTGATTAGCGGGCGACCCGCTCTACCCCCTGAGCACAGCCACCACAGAATGAGACAAACAAGAGCCCGGCATTAGTTCAGGCACAGCACTGAAGTTGGGCTTGCGTTAGTTGGCTGTTTGGCTACCAGCTAACAAGTGATGTCCAGCCATATTTATAATGCCGCCGGCTGCTACAAATATTTTAAGATTCATGTCTCCAGTGGCAACCAATGGGTTTGGAGCTGAGAGCCACAGACAGGTTGTTGGGTTTGGTCCTTTCAACCAGCCTTTTCCTTTTGTATGTATATCTGTATGTTTCCATGTGCTACCATACAACCAATGGCTTAAATTCTCATTTAAATGAAAGCATGGAATGATCCAGAAACTCTGTCCAACCTGTTGAAGTGCCTGCGGAAGCTCTCGCTGAGCAGGTACAGGGCGAACGGGTTGACGCAGGACGAGGAGAAGCTGAGGACTCTGGCCAGCAGGGTGACGACGAGGTGAGCCAGGGACAGATCCATCTCGTGGTAGTGGAAGGAGCGGTACATGTAGAGCACGTGGTTGGGGAACCAGCACAGGGCGAAGAGGCCCACGAACACCAACACGATCTTGGCCAGACGCTTCCTCGTCTCCATCTGGAGGAGCAGCGATAAAAAGAAACAATGAGAAATGATCAACACAGCAGCTTCATTTTCATTTTATATTTAGGGAGATATAGAGAGCTGCTCAAGCACTATAGTCGTCACCACAGAGAGTTTGTGTCCTTAATGTGATACTATTCATGTGCATAATATACTGCAGATACTATAATTAATCCTTTGGCTCTAAACATGATCCCCTGACCTGAACAGTGTACAGTGATATGATAGCTGTGGTAGTCATCAGTGGAAAAAGCTATTTTCTCACTGGTGATTGATTTTTATGCACAAATGAATGAATATATAATGTTTGTGGTGTTGTGCAGAACACAGGTCCTCTGACATCACACAAGAACATGAAGTTTATTTATTCTTGTTGGACTTTTTGTACAAGAGACTAATTACATACTTAACAAAGCTGTTTCCTAAACACAACCTCACATACTTCTAAATTGTTTTGGAGGACAAATGTACTGATATGTTCACTGGCGATGGTTTTTCCAGTCAAAGAAGGTTCGCGTCCTTCAAGTTGTAAGGGGAAAAAACTTTATTAAGATGTGAAATATGGAGGTTTTAGTTATAATTTCAAAAGAAAACATGCTCTGTCTTGTGCTTCAATCAGTGTTCATTTACACATTAGTGAGCATACATAAATGTTCTGCTAACTCAAGGCATGGCCTTATTCAACCCGTTCTCACTCTCAGTCGTCACAAATGGACGCTTGGTCAAGTGCCAGTCGTCAGTTGGTGACGCAACGGGGATCCCTTTACCATCCCAGTTCAACATAGTGTGGGAAGCCCTGCAGAGTCAGTTTTTGACGGTAAAGGCAGGTGTATGATATTTAACCGAAAAGACTGAGTAAGGAGGTGGTTGGGGTGGATGGAGGGCCAGGCCCCGACTTTGAACCAAGAGACCGTTCGTGTCCCGTGAGAAACAAAGTCAACATTAAACATTTTTATTTAGGCAAATTATGTAAATTGACGCAAGTTAACTTACGTGTTAACTGACGTACGTAGTTCTTTTAACCCAAACCATGATCTTTTCCAACCTTTACCAAGTACTTTTTGTGCCTAAACCCAACCAAACTGCAACGCTTCATGACTTTAATAACGCGCCGTTTCAAAATGACGACGCTTTGAAACGCTAGCGTTTTATTTTGAAAGTCTAACCAGACGTTGCATATTTATTGTTGTTAACCTTACCGGAAGTTGTATATTTGTTGTTGCTAAGCGTTGCTAACTTGACCGCGGAGCCCTAAACGTCAATAAATGACGCAAAAGGGCCAGGGCGTTAAAAATAAATATGAATATTGACTCTAATAAAATATGTTAAATTTGATTTAGATGTACATTGAAGGGATTGGCGACTTGTTCAGGATGTACCCCGCCTTTCGCCCAATGTCAGCTGGGACTGGCTCCAGCCCCCCGCCACCCAGTACGCAGGATAAGCGGTGATGTTGGATGGATGTACATTGAAGTTAAAACAACTTCCTGTTTCATGGCAAATCACAGATAGATCAACTTTCCATTATCAGTGCGTCTTCCAACATTTGAAGTTGATTGGTTTAATTCCCTTGGAGGAGTTCGTTAAGTAACCAGTAAATCTAAGTAATGCAGGCAGAACGTCAATACCTGCTAAAATGTTGAGCTACAAATGGCTTCAGATTTTTCACTGCAGCTTCAAAATCCATCACGCATGATGTGTTTAAAAGCAGAAATAACTGATACAAGCCGTAAATCCACATGGTTAAAAGCACTTATTTTACACCCACAGTCACATAGTTTAGAGGGAAAATGTAATCGTGCTTGACAAGGCTAAAGGTTTGACTTCCAGCGGGACCTGATTGCTAAAAGCTTCCTCCAAATGTCCAATGATGAAATAGATGGAAACAGAGATGGACAGAGGAAGACAACGCATCTGGAATCATGGTTAAACACCAAATCTATTACGTGTACATCAACGTAGAAGGAGTTTGACCTTCATGCGGCTGCTCAGAGTTTGCCAGAGACATATGAAAAAGGTCCATTATGCACTTGCACTTTACACAGGTCACCCATCTCTGGACGTAAGGATCCAACTCAACTCAAACACACAAGAAAATGTCAACAGGGTTCTTCAAAGTGCTTCTCTGAATATTACGGACATCAAACACTTCAGACCTTCAGACCTTCTGACGTACACGCTCCTGATGTTAAAACAATGGAGATATTTCAGAGCAACAGACAAATTTTACATGCTTCTAAATCCATTATAGAGCAGCCGAGGAGCACGTAAGACCTTCTCACTACAAACAAACATGTAGAGAAAAATAGAGAAATCAGCTCAGAGCATTGCGAACACATGAGGACACATCGAGCACTTGGAGGATATTTATTTCCCTCAGGTACAGGCAGCTCTTCTCTCTTTGATATTTCGGCGAATCGCTGAACTGGATGTCACTGCAGTGAACTGGAAGGAAAAATATAGTTTGTCAGTAGCAATCTAGCGGTGCAGTGTAACCTGAGTGTCAAGGGGCTACAGGGGCTTGTGTCCGCACTGCCGGCTTGTTCTGACCAGGTCAAAGACGCACGAGGAGTTCATCAGAGTCTGTGCTGTTAATACAGGCTTATTAATGTGATGAAGGCCAAGAGTCCAAAACCTGAACTGAGTCAGATCAAATGGTCACTCTTTCCACTGAGATTTATTTCCAACTTGTAGTTGCTCTATCAGTTAATTGTCTAAATAAAGATGTCATGATCAGGATGAACCTGGCAGAACAACACACCTGTTACCAATCAGCTGGTCAACTCCCTGGTCAAATACTCCTGGTTTCCTGGGACTCACAGCCAGATTGTTCCTAACCTCATGTGGTAGAGTACCTCTAGCTATTTCAGCCTCCAGTGGGTTTTCCTGAAGCCTGTTTTTGTGATTATCTCTTGCCCTCTGAGTGATTCCTGTTGGCTCTTTCTCTGCCTCAGGACTCAACCCCCACAGCCAACTACTACCGGACCACGCCATCTCCAGCCTGCCTGCCTCTTGCCCTCGTCAGCTCCACCAGCCACCACTTCCTTCAACTCGTTAGTTAATAAACCCTTTTATTTTTACTTTGGCTGCTGTTTTCTGTGTCTGCTCTTGGGCCTGCCAAAATAAAATGTAACAATAGTACCATGAAAAGTTACATGAAAATGCGCTATATACACTGATAAAACAGAGCCTTAGATTTTACAAAATGTAATGTTACCACACAATAGACACAATAGATGTTCACTGCAGAACAAGCAAGCTCAGTATTCCCAGGAATCATGTTTATATTAGATTATTCTCACGCTGTATGCCAACGTTCAGTGCCAACACAGGACGTTGTGTGCGACTTGTGTAGCCAGGTGTAAAGGTTGAGCTGGTGGATGGGAGCACATGTCAGACTGACATAAGAGAGCAGAGTTCCTCTGCTGTCACAGACCTGCAATTAATACTCTCCTTTTTATTAAAAGTAACCGTACACAGAAATTGCAGAAAAACAACATTTCAATTCCTTGGCATTAGCGTTAGCATTGCTGATCCACATACCTCCCTCCTGTTCATGTGCTTAAAGTGATTTTCTAGCCAAGAGTTAGAAGAGAAGATTGATACCACCCCCATGTCTGTACAGTAAACATGAATTAGGAGAAAGCGCCGAGCTTAGCATAAAGACAGGAAACAGCTAGCGTGGTTCATTCCAAAGGTGATAAATTCCAAAGTTATACTTGATTCGTTTAATCCTGCAAAAAGCGGGTTAGGGGGCAACAACATGTTGCCATTTTATGGGGGTTACGGGCCAGATTATTTTCTTGGCCCGGAGACATAACCCCTGTAAAATTGCTCCGGCTACATCTTTATCCTACAGATACTAGAGTGGTGCAGATTGCCTCATATTGAAAACCAATAAGCATATTTCCCAAAATGTCAATCAATTTCTTTAATTGCATGTTTCCTTTCTGATGACACACATAAGTCGTGCAAAAAGAAGTGCACTTCAGGTTCTCAGAGGGAGAGCAAGGAAAAAACACACATTAAAAGCCTTATTATTGATTTTTTATAGTTGATGGGTAAAGATGGGGGTGGGGTGGTGATTCCCACTGCAACACGTCCACCATTGTGTCTCTGAGCAAGACTCTTAACCCTTAGCTGCTCCAGAGGAGTGCGACCTTTGACATGTATAGCAATTGTATGTCGATTTAGATAAGCGTCGGCTAAATGAGTACATCTAAAAGCCTCTTTATAGTGTGCCAGTGAGCTCCATGTACAAAAACTGCATATAACATGTTTCCTGTCTCTCTCTCATCTGTCCTGTCACAAAATAAAGGCAAAAAAGCCCCCAAAAGCAAAAAGTCTTTGACTGTCACCGCGCTGGCGTATGAGTTGATAACAACTGTGTATGTTCACAGGACATCAAATTGGACGTTGGGGAGTAAAAATGTGCCAGTCTATTGTTTCCTTTTTGGAATTTGACCCTCTGACATCTCTGTAATGCTCACCTGATGCGACGCCATCCAAAAGTAATTTGCACACAATAAGAAGATGGTGAGAGTTTGGTGAAGCATTTGATTCAGGAGGATTACATTCTTACAATAAACACTTCTTAAATTAATTAGGTTCTGCTCAGTAAAGAACAGAGGCGGGTTCTTCTTATCATCAGAAACTTTAACGGCGCCCGGCGGCATCTCACCTTGACTCACTCACTCACTCGCTCGCTAACTTTGCTGATTACGGGGCAGGGATCATCTCTGCTCTCCAGACTGCTGCTGATTTGTGTTTGCTCTGATTTGCTGCCAGCGGCCGGACAGAATTTGGCATTTTTCCCAAGATCCTTTTAGGCACCTGCATTTCCGAGCCACAACTCATCTGGACGGGTGGATTATGTGTGTGTGTGTGTGTGTGTAAATGTTGCTGTGCATGCATTCTCAGAGGTTTGAATATACATTCTTAGTTTCTCTGTATATGCAGCGTCATGTGCGTATTCATCACACACCTGCAGCTGC